CTTGGGAGCTGTAAGATCCTGGAGATAGACACTTGGGAGTTTAAAGAAGGATATCATACTGATATGAAACGGGAGCCTCTTCCCCTCCCTGCACCGTGGAGTCATTGGTATTTGTGCAGAGCGCTCATGTTCATAGGCCTTCTCTGTGCAGGAAGTAAATAAACCTTTGCTAACCACACGGCAGCCAGTCAGCTCACAGGTATAAAGTTACCCGTTAGGCCTTCCTTAAAAGTGATCCTGTGAACTCTAAGAGTAGCTATATCAAAGAATGCTTTCACATATACATGATCATTGCTTTCTTCTACCATGCCTAAAACATCACTAAGTTCCAGCTTGATCTTGAAACACTTATTTTATCTCTGAAATGGAGCAGCAAAGAAAGGAATGTCACAAAACCAGAGTGCAGGCAGCACCCGAAACCGCCTTGCAGCCTTCTGTGATTAGCCGTGTTTTTAGGAGGTCTTGCAGCAACAGAGGCAGAAACACCCACCTCCCCGGGAGAGGTCGCCTCAAATTCATCCCTTCCCAGAAAACATGAGTCTGGCAAGGCTAGTTTCGTTGTAATTTCACATCCCCCCTTCCCTCAACGGCTCTATTTCATGTCTTCTTGCCTCTGCCTAAATCCCCAAAACTGCTTTCCTCCACTCACCCATGTGAAAATCTTACCTTGTCTTCCTTTCAGATAATAGAAATAGTCTTCTATTATCTTTCATACCTTAAAAGATCAAAATTGTCATCAATTTTAAAGAAAATGAGTTCATGTCCTCTATTTTCTATTCTCCTACAGTGAGATACTAGTTTCTTATCCATCAAATGCCAGGAAAACACCGGTCTGATAACTCCTCTTTTTTAGACATCTAAATGTTAGAGTACCCTAGTAATGATCCTATAACTTCCTCTTTTACCTCGCATTAATATTTCTATCGTTCACCCAAACTTATTGCTTTCAAAGTCATGTACATTTTTAGACTTCAAATTTCAACCTCCAGCCCTTTCCTGAACCCTGGATTTCAAGCTTTACATTTCCTGCTTGCCATCTCCAGTGGGAAGTTTAAGTATAAGGGTAAGTGAGCAGAGCTTAGCCAAACAGAGCTCATGCTCTCTACTGCATCCCCTGCCTCCACCAGCAAATTACTGCAGCTTTTCTAGAATTATTAAAATATTACTAATGAAACTTACACACCACTTCTGCATCTTCTTTACCCCCTTACTTAATTGATCAACAAGAAGTGTCACTGATATGTAGATGTAGATCTCTTTATTTCTTTTCTCTACTTCTCAGTCTCTAGCAAAGCTGGCCCCTATCTTTACTGACTCAGAAGCAAAAATTGTCTTTTTAAAAGTCAGATTGTGTGTCCTATCTGCCTAACGAGTGTCAATACCTTCCCATAACTCTAACTGACGTGCAGTGTCCTGCAAGCACACTTGATAGACCCTGCGCAGTTCTCAGAGGACCTCTCCAACACCTCGCTCTACCTCATTTCTGCTTCTTTTTCCTCAGTTGCTCTAGCTTCGCTGAGCTTTCTCAGAATTTTGCATTTGTTATTCATTCAATCTGTAATGGCATTTCTTCTCCTATAGTCTTTAATTGGTGCCCCATCTCACTATGAAAGTGTTAGCACAATCGCTAGCACCTCAAGGAAAACTTTTCTATTCACCATCTCTGAAGTTGCTCTCTTATACCACCTTGCCAGTTAATGGCTGCAGGATTGTCCTCCTTCACTTCCTTCAGAGTACTTTTCCTTATCTCTAATTATTTATGTATTTTTCTGACCCCCTCATGCTTGTCTGCCATCATCTATAAGCTTTATAAAAATAAGGCCTTGGTCCATTCTGCTCTCCACATAAGGCATGTGTTAGTAAAGATTGCTCCTCGAAACTCAGTAAGAACAGTTGTCACATAAATAAATATCTGGGGAGCTTGTCATAAAAGAATGGAATGAAGACAGTGAATAGAGTCTATATGTAAGAGAAAAACCGGTTTCACTTATGGAAATAACTGAGACATGTTATAAGAGATCTACCACACTAATATTAACTCATGCCATTGTAATGTAGATATTAAAGGAAAAGGGCTTCATTTTATGTTCACAAACAGAAAAGGCCTGGTCGCATTAGTTAGAGGTGTGTGTTTGTGTGTGTGTGTGTGTGTGTGTGTGTGTGTGTGCACACGTGTGTGTCTTTAAAATGGTGTGTTTTTACCTGTACTTTCAAATACTAATATGAGACCTACAGACAGCAATTTCCCCCAATCTACATTGCAGATAAATAGTGAAACTGAGACTCTCCCACTTTTATGTTTGATTCTAAAATTCATGTCTTTCCTTTTATTCAAGAAATAACAGATTGCTGAGGACCGTGCTGAAGGATCTTCTTTTCTGGAAACGCATTGCTATTCATAAGCATAAAGGGGAGTCAAAGGTGTGAATGTGGGAGTTGCTCTGTAGGGCTAAGAGACTGAGGAAAAGAAGAAAACTGTGCATATAAGATATGCAGCTGATGGGTGTCTTTTTCAAATACGGTGGTGTTTCAATAGGGCCTGTTGAATCACATACACATAATCAGTGTAATTCCAGGAGAAAGCCCGCTTGGCTCAGCAGTTTTAATATACAGATCAATTTTACATTACCTCCTTCTGGCTGTGAGTGCTCATAGAGGGAGGTCATAAAACATTTATTGGGCCAAGGATGCAAATTGAGCAAAGAGTGAATCTTCAGTCTGTAGACAGGCTCTTGAAAGGAACTTGTCAGATAAGTCTGTGATGAGCATTTGCTCTGCCCTACACCCAATGAAATTTTTATTTTCATTTCCTTTAAAGAACTGAACTCTTTAAGAGGTGGAAAATTATGTACATACCTACATACGTACACACATGACTGCAGCATAATTCATGTGCCATTTACATTTTTAAAATAAAAATGCATGTGACAGTCAAAAAAACTAAACTTGGAATATTATGACAGAATTATGACAGAAATTCTCCAATTATATCCTATACTTAAAACAAAATTTGAAGATATCAAGAAAAAGTGCAAAATGAATGTTAATTTCTATCATGAAATAGGCTAGGACATTAGGCTAAAAATACACATAGTGGCACAATACCCTGATAGCCAACTAGTTCGTCACTGCTGTGAGAGAGCTGGAGATGTGAATTGGAATTCAGAGATATGAAACAACCAGGGTAATTTCCACACTTGTCATGTTACATTTAATGACTCCCAGTGTGGTGTGTCCTGCTGCCTGTGCTAGCTCATCTTAACCGTTTCTCTTATTGCAGCTAACGAGATATGAACAACGGTTCACTAATGCGGTCTTCTCAGCATAGAGAATGCAAGAATAAGGGAAAATGACAAATACCAAGGAAATGAGAAAGAAATACCTTTGGTAAAAGTGTCTGGCTCAGGTCAACCCTTGAGAACTCTACACGGGCAGCGCTGTCTCTGAGCACAGACTGAGACTTACCTCCACAAGCTTTGTCTGCCAGTTTTAGCCACAGGTGGTTGCCTCCTCATCTGATTTTCTGGAGAATTTAGCTATATGACATTGTTTAGGAGTAACTGAGATTATCTTGCATCACTATTGTCCTTTTAGGATAATACAGTGGGTGGTAAGCTCGAAAAAGGGTATGTTTTACTTGTTATTTGCCTACTGGCTGGCTAATGCACTACAGGCAGCAAGAATTTAAGCAATATTTGGTCATGTCTCTTAATAGATAATGAGAACAGGACAATGCTTATATTAAGCATATCTCCATTAAAATACAGTATAAATTGAAGGATGAGAAAGGTATTCTACATGATAGGCTACATGTAAGATAGCTACCACTGAGGCCATAAACTTCTTGACCACAAGAATAATCTTCTTTCTTCAGACTACTCACAAATTAACACAGTACTGAGGACATAGGTTTGTGGTAAATATTTATTTATTTAATTGATTTGGCAATGACAGCAAACACACACACAAACACACACACACACCAATGTCAGAACATTTATAGGGATGGACTTTATATTTGAAGTAATATATATATTTCTGTAATGACCAAATCCTCTAGGGCATTTTAATAGCTGTATATGTTTTCAACTTCTTGTTTTTCAAATCATTTATCCAAAATTATTTTCAATTCTCTCTTATTTGTAGACCCCAGCTCAACTCCTACTGCTGTTCCAGGTACTGCAGTTTTGGATCATGAAGTGAGAATCATCCCTTCAGAGTCATAGTTGCAATGGCCCAACTTCCTTCTTTTCAGCAAAGGTTGCAATGACAGAAGAAAGAATTGGGCTATCCTAATCTGTCCTCTTGTAGATTCCAAAAATGGAAATGGTTTCTATATAATTTTTTGTCACTAATAACACCCCATTCAAGTCATTTTGCTAAGATCCACCAGGAAAATAATCTAAGTAATTGTCAGTCAAACAAAAATTGTAGTAAATATCTTGAAAGGCACATATTTGAGTCTAAAACACAACAGGTGACATTCCACCATACACCATTTGTACTTTTGGCTAAAATGTTTATTTTGGTGTGACAGAACCAGCAAAACCCAAACAAAATATTAGGTTTAGTCAACAGTAATGTACCCAAATTTGTCTTCTTATTTGTGATGTCTAGTAGAGTAGTGTTAGATGTTAGTGAAAAAAAGCAAATTTTCTCTTCCTAAAATATTGAGGGTTAAACTCAACTTCAGAAGGAAGGATCTCTTGTGGTGTAACTGTATCAGCTCAACAATTCTCAATATTTTAGGGGAAAATATTATATTTTCCATAATTAACAAGAGGGAAAATGATGAGAATTTTAAAAGTGGTGTACTTTCTTTTACAATAATCAGTACATCTAAAACTATTTTAAAGAGTTTTTACAAAGAATGACAAACTGTTGAGAGGAACTTCACCAGACAACTACATTATTCCCATAAGTTTTCCTGACATAAGAAGGTTTTATGAGAAATGCCCAAGCCCAGAACACAGTCATAACTGAAAGGAGACAGGACTCACTGTGAAGGAACAGCAGTGGTGGTCAATCAGATTAGGGGAGAAAAGTCAGCGTCCTGCAGGACAGTCAGTGAGAGGTGAGGAATGAGACACACAGTCATCAGCAGAGCTTTGGACATGAGAAAGGAAAAGTTACATACAAATTTACATGAACCTGTTCCTCTATCCCCTCTCCAAGCGGCTTATGTACCTTTGGGAGGAGAAAGCCACTCCGTTAAAACAATCTTATGTTAAAAGAAGAGCTTCACAAAGGAAGGAATTGTTGTTCAAATGGATTAAAAGGATTCATGAGTAATGGTGATCCCAGGGCCAGGGGAAGAAGTTGCAGGGTAGGTAGTGGATGACTCACACTTCAGGAAGGCCTAGGAAAAGAGTAAGTCAAAATTATAAGAGGAAGAGGAAGGGGAGAAGGCCAAGGAGTCATGAGAGTGACAAGCAGATCCAGTGCGGAGCTCAAAGAACCAAGAGAACAAGGGTAACCATCAGTCTTTGAGGGAGGCTGCTCAAGGGACCTTACTAAGATTTTATAGATTACTGGGCCTTGAAATGGTTTAGTGCATTCTAAGATATTTAATGAAGGGATTCTGAAAGTCTTAGACCTGAGCAGGAAAGAAAGGCAGAGGTCATGAAATTTTAGTATATTTAATGGATACACTTCCTCAACGAGCAGTAGAATTGGGCTCTTTCAAATGACATTACTCATCCAGCTGGAGACTTACACAGACAAACCACATCAAACAGCCCTACCCACCAGCCTCAGACAGTCTTGAATTTTTGCAGGTCTGGTGTAGAACAGGTTTATCTCTAATGGAAGGATAAGAAGTCTGAGTGTTTCTTATGCATTATGGAACTAATTTCAATCATATTAACATTCTGTGATAACAGAAGTCTTCAATCTCCTGAGGTTAGGCTCAGCTATTCATGAATTTGACTTCAGAAATAAAAAAGAGTCCAGAGGAGACATCAATATAGGAAATTTCCCCAAATGAGACATAGGAAAAATGGTATCCTCTTGTGAGCACGCCTCCTCCTGCCACACGGTGAGAGGTTAACACCTGACATGAGCTGCTGAGGCTAGTTTCTCTTTCAGAAGTCAAAGCTGCTAAAATTGGTGAAGTATAAATTACCTGTTTTAAAATTACAAGTTTATTCCTTTAAAAAACCCTGAGCTCATTTATCCCATGTTTATAACTAAGCTCTTTCATAATAGCATTTCAGTCAACTATTAAGGAAATCTTTCTTCCTTCTTTAGGGACAAAAAGGGATAAACACCGATCCCTATTTTATGTCTAAAACTTTAAAATTATTTTTGTCTATACTTTAATTAACAAGATAGTGACTCATGAAAATTGTAATACAGAAATCCATAAAACTAGCAGTAAAAGTCTATTTTATTCTCACTCTCCAGGATTTGCCACCCTGAAAAATTCAGTGGCTATGTTCCAAAGCATTTTTCACTTGAATATTATGATAAAAATAAACTGACTCATATAAAAAATGAGATTACACTTTACATGCTCCTTTTGTAATCTGGTTTTGAAACTTAAGCTTCCTTTACATATCAAATCCTTGTGATGTAAATAATATCATACTTATTTCAAGAATGAGTCCCTCAGGAGCACCATATATTCTGCACAAGTCCACATAAGGTGCAGGCAGGGTGTAAGTCAAGATCTATCATTTTTTAACATAAGCTGCATTGAACAGAAATGGCAAATGTTAAGATCTTAACTTCTATTGTTTGGTTTAGGAATAAGCAAACTTGTTCAGTCAGTGGACAGAGAGTAAGGGTTCGGGGCTTCCAGGGCTATGTAAGATGTCTCACATACTCTTCATCTGGGGGAATCTCTTTTGCTTGTTTCTACTTCCTCAAGCATGGGGTTCACACAAACCCCTCTTAACATGGGGTTCATAAAAAAATTGACACCCCCAAAAGAGACTTATTGCAAACAGCCAATCGATTACTTCTTGATATCGTTCCAAATACACAATTCAAGAAAGTACACTTTCAAAATCTCTAAATTTGCTTGCTTGCCGCCGAAATCATCCTTTCTTCTGGACAGACATACGCATCCTTAAAATACAAAGCAGCTGCGGGAACTTTGGGGTCACTGACTCCATCCTTGTACATGCCACTCACCTTGACACCACCCATCAAGCAGTGAGTTCAGAGGCTTCCCACAACCCACTGGGGTCAAACTGCAGTGCAGTTTTGGTTTGCCTGGAAATAACACTTTGAGAAAGCAAAAAGACAAAAGTATGACTTTCTCACATAGAAGTAGCAACAATTCAATTTCAGCGCTCACTTCAGCAGCACATATAATAAAATTTGAGCGATACAGAGAAGATTAGCATGGCCCCTGCGCAAGGATGACACCCAAATTCATGAAGTGTTCCACTAAAAAAAAAAAAGAGAATTCAATTTCAAATTATTTGTTTTACTTCTTTTTGTAAGTTGCCAAGAATCTAGTATCACCAAAACAGAACCTTTTCCTTTGAGACCCTCATAAGCAGACCACTGGAAGACGGGTGGACACTTATTCCTAGTGAGATTTTACTACTTCCTGTTGTCACATCAAACCTCATCCCTCTTTCCCCATCCTCTTCTTCACAGAAGAAGGAAAACAGTTTGGTAGGAGGATATATTAGAAAAATGGGACTTTTGTAGATGGATTTGCTTATGAATATCAGTGCCTTACTTTACAGTTCATTCATTTTGGGTAAGTTACACTCTCTGGGCCTCAATTTATGAATACATTACAAAACTGGGGGAGAATTATAGATAAGTAGATACTTAACATTTATAAAATAACATTCTTAATTATTATAAAGCAAAAATTAAACCACAAATAAGTATGACAAACATCCTAAAAATAGTAATTTTAGCTGGCCCATGAAACAAAAAATCCAGTGTATTTTTATACCACAAAAATATCAGTAAATTGCTTTTAATATTCTAGTAAACCTCCAAGAGAGCAAAAGGCAGAATTTAAAGAGCTTATGAGATTATTCATTACTTATTTGAAATACCCTCCCCTTAAAACACCAGAAAAATAGGATATCTCTCAGAACTCTTGTTCTATTTGTAAATGTACATGATTAGGAAATTAATATAACTTCTTTTGGATACATTTACCACATCATTCCCCATCAACCTGAGTAAGAACAACAGTGCTAACACAGTGTCTGCTCTCTGTTTAATAATAGATTTAGCAAAGGAAAAATACATCCTAAAAGATTAATAAGAAGCAAATATCCAGGGCAGAGAAAAAGGCAAACAGCGGAGTGGCTGTTTTGCTTAACCGCCTGTCAGTAAATATTCATGCCTGCCTTTGGTCTTTCACCGGGCTCATGCTGCTCTGCTTGGCCTCGGTCTCAAATTTCTGTCAATAGCCTAAAAGCTATATTCAAACAAACACTGAAATGTGTCTTACCCTGTCTCCTTCAGTCACACGGACACAATAGGTTTCACTTTAATTATAGCATCTTCTAAAGTGACTTGTATCAGAATTGTGCAGGGCTTCATAGCAAATGATAACAATGGAGATTTTCTTGTATATTTACGTTAATATGATCTGAAGTTGTTGGATAGCATGGTTTGAGGAAGCTCAAAGCAAAGTGAGAACATACAATTTTTCAGTAATATGAAAATCATCTAAAGAACTCAAAAGTATTACATACAGATCAGTTGTTCAAAAGGTGAAGTTTTTCTCCCCCGTTGCTATCTCTCAAGACTACACAATTCATTAAAATGCCCCAGTTGTTAAATTGTTTCTGAAAGTAGAAAAACAAAGTGATTGTCATTGTCTTTAGGCAGAGGTGAGATTTCTGAAACTCATATTATCTCCTCTGCTCAGACTGTTAGGATCTGCTCCAACCAATCTGACAGCCCACAGGTGTCTTCTTTTCAGTCTACTTTCTTGGGTTTCTCGGCATAATCTTGTTCAATAACAGGTATTTTCCCTGGTGCACGCACATGCACAGGCTCCCAAACAAACATTTCAGTGTCTCCCCGGGGCCTATAAATTCTTAGGCAGTCACCCTTTACCCTGTGACCCGGATGCTGTATATTTCCCGGGCCCACACTACTTCTCTCTGTACTCACTCCCGTCCTTGCCATTCCCCAGGATTACTGTATTTCATGCCTCCAGCCTTTGTTTACACTACTCCCTGGGCAAATCTGCATGAACAAAATTGGTAGCATTTCAAGTGACAGTTGTGTCTGGTAGGCATTCTCTTCTGAGGTATTCGACTTCCACCATTTTCACACAGGTTGAAATTTATGTTCAAGTGCTGGTGTAAATAGGATTTTCCCTGGAAATATCACCACATCTTTCCTCCCATCTACCAGAATCAACTTGGAGCATTAATGAAATTTCAGAATCATACACTCAATATCTAATTCTACTTAGTACTATGCAACAAAGAACTCTTTTTTTCCTGTCCTTATGCCACCCACTTATGCTGTTAAATACAGTAATACTTAAAATAACGAACAGTCATCCACATAATATGTAGATGCGTGGGATCCCTCCTACAAGGTGGAATTTTATTAATGTGATTATTACAAATTCTGTAGTCACTCAAAATACAGCTTTGATCCAGTTATGAGTAAAACTCATTCACCTTGCTGATTATTCAGGGTAGTGACAGAAATCTTGCATAACCTTAGATAAATTTCTCTCTTAACATGAAGATTTTGTTCAGCAACTCCCAGCAAATACCTGATCCCTTTATTAAATGCCTTCACAGAAGCTACACATTTATTTTTCAAAATTTTCAGTTCTTAGTACATATTTTTATGTCAGTTTTTTAATATGTGTTCTTTCCACAGAACAGAATTATACGCTCCATGTGGTCAGAGAATATGTTTGGTGTCTCTGTGTCAAAATAACTGGGAAAGTCAACTTTTATTTTGGCTCACAGTGGGAGAGATTTCTACCCATGGTTGGCTGGCTCCATTGCTATAGGCCTGACGTGAGGCAGAACATCATGGTGGGGGATCATGGTGGAGCAAAGCTATGCACCTGGTGGCAGGCAGGAAGCAGAAAAAGAAAGAAAGAGCCAGAGTCTGTGCTTACAGGCTTCTTCTTTCCGCTTTTACCCCCTCTGGGCCTATCCCCTATTGGATGCTGCCACCCACATTCAAGCCACCATCATTTCACTTTTGCACATAACGTCTCTGGAAAACACCCTCAAAGCACACCCACAAGTGTGCTTTATTAATTTTCTAGATGTTTCCTAATCCAGGAAAGTTGACAATCAAGAGTGTGCATCTCAGGGGACACATGGGTTTTGCTCACCATTATATGCTTAGCACTCAGCACAATTCCTGGTACTAAGTTAGCAACCAACAAATATTTATTGAATGAGCAAACAGCACATAAACATTGAAAAATCTCCTTAATGATAAGCTCTATAATTGAATCCAGAACACTGGCCTAAGAAGGTAAAATAGAAGGGGTTTTAGGTGTAAGGGACTAATATTTATGGTATCAAAGTTTTTGTAGTATTTGGAGTTTGCTATGATTTAAAGTGTTCCCCAAAGTTCATGCATTGAGAACTTAAATTTCCAGTGTAACAGTGGTGAGAAGAGGGATCTTTAAAAGATGATTAGATAAAAGGTTTCTGCCTTCATAAAGTGATTAATGCCATTACTGTGAGAATGGGTGCATTATCCCAAGACTGGGTGTATTATAAAAGTAGGTCCAGTCCTCTCTTGCTGTCACTCACACTGTCTTGCACACTTGCCTTCCACTGGCAGGTGCCAAAGGTGGAGGTCCTTGCAGATGCGGGCCCCTCAGCCTCCAAAGGAAGACTTTGTACTTCATAAATTGGCCAATGTCAGGTATTCTATTACAATAAAATTAAACATATTAAGATGGCCTGTAGGCATATACCATTGTCATATCAAAAATATTTTAGAACATTTTATTTTACTTTAGTCATACAGAACATATGTGAAAATAATCACCCAAAATATCTTCCATGGACAAGCTATGTTAACAAAACTTTATAGACTGGGTAGTCCTTTCAGAGATAGTACATTTATTGTATATGTTTTCTTTAAAATTACATTATTAAGGGGCTGGGGATTTGGCTCAGTGGCACAGCACCTGCCTGGCAAGCGCAAGGTCATGAGTTTGATTCCTGGTACCAGAAAAAAACAAACAAAAATACATTATTAAGAACATAGAAGGGCTGAGGATGAATCTCAGGGTAGAATATGCACTCTGCATGCTGTATATTTTTAAACCCATAGGTTCACTACAAAACAATTTAACAAAATCAAATAAAAACTTAAGCTTTCCATCCCCTGCTACACTACGCTGTGTTGAGATTACATATTTGAATCTTTTACGGGATTCATTCTTCCTTGATGTCCGACGACTTGAAATTTTGCTCAGTGAAACTGCTGACATTTTTTACTTTTTCTATACTTTCCTCCCCTATGTTTCTCTAGCTTCACGATTAGTATAGAAGTAAAACACAGTATTAGTATATTTAGAAGGCAGAGAGTAGAAATGGGTATTTTAGTTGACTTTGTAATACTGTAACACCCCTAGTGGTCATATTCACTTCCAGCAGGCCCCATTTCTAACTGTTTTCTCTCAATGGCTCATGGCCTAGCTTGCAACATGTTGGTCCCTGGGGGACACATCAAACCGCAGCAGCAGAGGAGGAAGGGATGGAACATGGTACTGGAAGCATTACGGTGGTTGAGTAACTCCTGGGGCTCATTTTTCACCTCAGTTAAAATATATAAACATAGCTACTTACATCATACTATTCAGAATTTAATTATGCATTGTTTATTTTAAAAGTAAAACCATTTCAAAGCTATTGTGTTCACAACTGCTCATATTAAGTCTGTAAAACTTCTGCAATAATCCAATTGTCTGTCACTCATCGCTCAGGGTGAAGTCAGTCTTCCAGGTGCTAAACTAGGTCTTACTCAGAGCAAGGCATTTGCAAAGTCAGAACGGAAGAGTCCTAAATACAAACATTTTGCTTGCAAAGCAACTGGGGACATTAGAAAGGCACCAAAACCTAAAAATCAGTTGAATTTTAAAAATACAAGAACTCAGCAGTTATTTACTTCAGGATAAAGAACAGTCTCCTAAGAATGTATTTTTCAAAAATGTTTTATAGACAACATACATTAAAAAACAACTTTAAAAGGTAGTTAGAAGATCCCATAGCCTATCTGTAGTTTATTTGAGGCCTCCAGACTTTTCCGTTTCTTCTCTGATAGCCCCAAACCTGGTAAGGACATTACAGAATCATAAGACACTGCACACCTCACATTATTTCTGCAACTCTGCAAAGGATTCAGGCAGCAGGTCCAAGTGGAGCTTTGCGCGTGGCCAGGCTTAAGCATGTCACATGGAAAGGCAATTTCAGCCTGCTACTGTTGTGTCATCAGGATGCTTTGGCCCAAATCAATCAGAGTTGTCCCATTGTTTCTTAGAAAGAAACAGTCCTGCCTACGCCATTTGATTTTTCCCCAAGTACACAACTGAAACAAAAGTCAGAGAAGGGATATTTGGTAACATAACCAAAACCTATCAGTACTACACAGTTCTGTTATCTGAAGAAAGCACATGAAATGGCCTTCTCTTGTCCTGCTGCTTTTACTCTAGGTGGATTGAAATTCCGGTGCTGCTGCCTACAAGCTTGAGTTCACAACCAACTTGCTCGCTTTCTGGAAGTCAGTCTACCAGTCTGCAGAATGAGAATTGTAATTCACTCAGTATTTGGATTTTGACTGAGCAGATGCCCCTAAACAAGTCTCAGAAGACTGTCAGTCACACTAGGTGCTAGATGTCATCAAAATAGCATTTAAGTGGTTAGATGCCAGTATTTATTTGTGTGCACATTTAATTAAATCACTTAATCAAATTTCATCACTTTAAAGTCATAGCTTTCCATTTATCTCTATCAGTAGTGATTTTATTAGCTTTTTTCATAATGTAAACCACTTCTTTCTACTTATTTTCCTTCCAATTAATTTCAATTTGAACATCGAATATCTCATTAATATCACCACGATTAGATAGATCTGTAGTAATAAGAGGGACAAACCCAGCCTCGTCAAGTTTTCCACTAACATTTAATTAGATGGATGAAGGTACTTCACATGGGGAAATGATATGTTTTTAAGTATTCTTGTGGAAGGACTTCTCATTTCTGATAATAGTTCAGGTGTACAACAGGACTCAGCAAACCTTTGCTGTGAAGGGCTAGATAGTCAGTATCAAAACTTGGTAGATTAAATTGGCCTGGCCACAGCTGCTCAATCCTGCCACTGTAGCAAAAATACAGCCATAAACAATACGGCAATGAAAGGGATTCTGTCCAATGAAACCTTACTTACAAAGTAGGCTGGTGCCTGAACTGGCCAGTGGAATAGGCTGCGGTTTGACAACTCCTGTCCAGTTCTCCTATTGAAGACAAAATAGTTAGATCCTCCTTCTCCTTTACCTCAAAGACCTACTTAAAGGAGGATTAGTAATCTCCAGGTGGAGAGCAGAAAACATCAGAGCTGAGCGGGACTTCTGCCATGCACATCTTACAGACTGACTGAGGCAGTGCTTTGGTTTACAAAGGACTCCTTCAGCTGAGAGTGAATCCAAAGTAGCAAATTTTTATTAATTTTTAAAAATTCTATTAATGCATGCTTGCAGTACATACACTTTACAATCATCTCAGGGAGTGGGTACATGCACGTAATGCAGCTTGTTTTTTGTAATCCCTTTTCCTTCCCACCACATCCCTCCCTCCTGCTCTAATTCCTTTTCCCCCATTTTCACCCTTGTCAATATTATTAATCACAGCTCATGATTATAGCATATGTTTACATTCATTCAGGTTAATAGGTTCCTATACATGTCATACTACAGCAATGTATGCATACCAATATTTATAGCAGCATGATTCATAAGAGCCAAATGCTGGAAACAGTCTGCATCCACATCAACAGATACTGGATAAAGAAAATGTATCTATATACAGCAGAGTGCCACTCAGCTATTAAGAAGGCACAATTTGGGACATTTGTAAGAAAATGAGTGCACCTGGAAAATAAAGTGAGTGAAAGAAATCAAATACTCTATGGTATGTCTCATTTGAGCAAGTCAAAGTACAAAGAAAATAATAAAGGATAGATAGAAGAAGAAAATGGGGTGGATCTCTTGCAAATGAAAAGGTGTCCAAGAGACCAACAGTAAAGGGCAAGGTGGGGAGGAAAGGGAAGTGAGTAGAGCCAAGATAGCAGGATTCATTGGCCATCCATTCCTGGATTCTGGCCTGGAGGCTCTACCCAGGAAATGAGAGGCTGAATTATAATCCAGTAAGATATTTGGAGACCCAGAAAACTCAAACCTTACCTTAGAAGAATAACATGTGTTCACTCTATTTGTTATTCTGAATTTGCTCCCTATACTTACTTTCCGCCTTTTATTTTTCCGTTCTTTGTTCCAGGGTCGCTAACTCCTGATTGATTACATCACCCAGGCTCCCTGGTCCTCTGGCTTCTGGTTGGTGTGGACAAGGGGAGAACAGAGGGTGGGAAGCCAGATATATCCAGGTGTTTTTCCTCCGCTCTTTTCCTACAAAGGCTACAGCTGTCTACAACTGAAGATCCATAGTAGATCTTCTGCTGCTACCTCCTTTGGTCCCTTCACACTCAGAATGGGCAACTGATCAGCCCTTATTTTTGTCCTTCCCACAACGTTGAAAATGGTCCTTTAATCCTTGTTGAATAGATTCTACTGCTGCCATGATCCCTGACTGCCCCTCCTCTTTCAAAATATAGATAAATAATATTCTATGTAATTTTAATATAATGTTCAACATAGAAAAGACATATAACAATACAAAGGGCCACAAGGAACAAGGAGCTACACAGTTGGAATATAGATACTGGAATTAATAGTTATAAACTATAATATATCTATCCTTAAGGTGGTGTACCTAGAAACTTAAACTCAGAAATGCATTGTCATGATAAGCAAACAAGTTATATATGTTTGGTAAATTATAAAAATATTGATTATAGGAAACAAAAGTAAATGCAGTTTATAAGACTTACCAGAGAATAAAAATACAAAAAGTAGCCTATATATTGGAAAGGACTCACAGAATAAAAGATGTATTAATATTCTTGTACTTTCTTAAAGGATAATTCATATAAAGATAATTATTAATCTTTTAAAAATCAATGCAATCTGTTTTACTTTCATGCTAATACTCCCAATAGGAAAATGTTTGTAATTTCAAAACTCATAAATGTGTGTGTGTGTGCACACACACACATGTGTGTCACAACAAAGAGAGAAATAAAGGGTAGGCAGGACAATCACTAATCCTATAAGTATACAATCAATTTCAACCCAAATATTTAAGTAATTCCATTAAATAGAAACTGAATGCTTTAGTTAAAATGAAGTACTATATTTCTCTTTAATAGCAACAACTGAAACACTTGAAATTGGAGCTTATAGAAAGCTTGAAAGTTGCTG